CTCCTGAATCTAACTGATGAGGTGCTGCGTGAAGTTATTGATGAAAACACGATAGCAAAGTTGTGGTTGAAATTGGAAAGTCTATACATGACGAAGTCTCTCACTAACAGATTTTACTTGAAACAGAGACTCTACACCCTTCGTATGACCGAAGGTATGCCTCTTAAGGAACATGTTGATAATTTCAATTCTATTATTATGGATTTAAAAAATACTAATATTAAAATTGATGAAGAAGATCAAGCCCTTATTTTGTTGTATTCTTTGCCTCATTTCTATGAGCATTTTGTTACTATATTGCTCTATTGAAAATACATCATTAATACAGAGGATGTTAAATCCTCACTGAACTCTTAAGAGTTGAGAAAAAAAGTGTTTGGGAATCATGGAGATGAACAGGCCGAGGGTCTGGTTGTGAGGGGAATAAGTGAGAAAAATGGTTCTGGTAGTAGGGGCAAATCGAGATCTAAATCTAGGTCTCATAAAGATACTGAATATTATTATTGTCACCAAAAAAGGCACGTTAAGTGGAATTGTCCAAAATTGAAAAATAAGAAGAAAGATAAAAAGCATAAAAAAGAATCTAAGGATAAATCCACTAGTAATTCCTCTGATGTTGCTGAGGAAAGTTCCTCGGATGTCGAAAATGTTTTTTCAGTTTCTGTCAGTGATTGTCACTCTAATAGTGAATGGGTTCTTGATTCTGGTTGTTCTTATCATATGTGTCTTAATAGGGACTGGTTTTTTACTTACCGTTCTATTGATGGTCGTCCTGTCTTAATGGGGAACGACAATCCCTATAAGACATTGGCATAGGCACAATCAAAATTAAGATGCATGATGGTATTGTTAGAACTTTAACTAATGTTCGGCATGTTCCAGATTTGAAAAAGAATTTGATTTCTCTTAGTACTCTTGACTCTAATGGTACAAGTTTTCAACTGAAGGTGGGGTTTTGAGAGTTTCTAAAAGTGCTCTTATTATGCTTAAGGGAAAACAGAGAAAATGCCTTTATTTTTTACAGGGTAGTACTGTGGTAGGTGCTGCTTCAGTATCTTCTTTAGTTGATCAAGATTCAGAAACTACCCATCTATGACATATGCGTTTAGGGCATATGAGTGAGAGGGGTTTGACAAAATTAAGCACACGAGATTTGCTAGGTGGACAGAAGACGGGAAAGCCGGATTTTTGTGAGCATTATGCCTTTAGCAAGCAGAAAAGGCTCAAGTTCAGTACAGCTGTTCGCAGGACCAAAGGCACTGTTGATTACATTCATTCAGATCTTTGGGGTCCTTCCAGAATTCCCTCTCTTGTTGGTTCTCGATATATGTTGACTTTCATTAATGACTCTTCCAGGAAAGTCTGGATCTATATCTTGAAGCAAAAATATGAAGTGTTCCTTAAGTTTAAGCAGTGGAAGGCTATGATTGAAAAGTAGTCCGGAAAGAAGATCAAACATTTCAGAACAGATAACGGTTTAGAATTTTGCTAAGGAGAGTTTGAGGAGTTCTGCAGAAATGAAGGCATTGTCAGACATCATACAATTCGAAAGACTCCACAACAGAATAGTGTAGCAGAACGCATGAATAAAACTCTTTTTGGAAGAGCTCATTGTATGCTTTTCAATGCTGGGTTGTCTAAGGGATTTTAGGCTGAAGCAGTTAACACGGCGGTGAACAGGTCACCAGCGACTGCTATTGAGTGCAAAACACCTGAAGAGGTATGGTCTGGTACTCTTGCTGATTATTCTAATTTAAGAATTTTTGAATGTCCTGCTTATGCTCATGTTAATAAAGGAAAATTTGAGTCTAGAGCCAAGAAAAGTATTTTTATTGGCTATGCATCCGGAGTGAAGGGATACAGGTTGTGGTGTCATGATCCTAAGTCACCTAAGTTTATTCCCAGCAGAGATGTTACTTTTGATGAGTTTATTTTACTTCTCCCGAAAAAAGGAGTCTTTTGTCACAGTTGAATCTCAGGGTGTTAAGCAGTAGGTGGATCATGATTTTAAAACTCCAGAGAAACAAGTCAACACTCCAGTTCAATCCAATATTGAAGAGGTGCATGATCATCAAGTACCAGAAGAGTAACAGTACAATATTGCTATAGGGAGATAGAAAAGGCAGATTAAACCACCTCAAAGGTATGTTTATGCAAATTTAGTTGCTTATGTTTTGTCTGTGGCAGAAAATATTGAAGATAAAGAGCCTTCCACCTATCAAAAAGCTATTACAGGAATGAATCTACCAAGTGGACTATTGCTATGACTGAGGAGATTGAATCTCTTCACAAGAATTAGACATGGGAGTTGGTGAAACCTCCTAAAGGCCAGAAGATTGTTGGTTGTAAATGGGTCTTCAAGAAAAAGGAAGGAATTCAGGTGTTGAAGATGCAAGGTACAAAGAACGTTTAGTGGCAAAGGATTATAATCAGAGAGAAGGTGTGGACTTTAGTGAAGTATTCTCACCCGTTGTGAAACACGCCTCTATCTGCGTGTTGCTTACCATGGTTGCTTTATTTGATTCAGAACGTGAGCAACTTAACGTCAAAACAACTTTTCTACATGGTGATCTTGAAAAAGAAATTTATATGCATCAGCCAGAAGGGTTCATTGTTTAAGGAAAGGAATTACCAAAATAAATTAACAAAGGGATCATTAATTTTAAGAAGTACGAATACCAGCAAGACATACGGGGCACGACATAATATAAATATATAAAAAACAAGACATTCATATGGCATGAATGTATCAAAAGATGATAATATAATATATGTTATTATATATATAAATAATTTTTTTTTTGGCCATTTTAATGAATAAAAATAGATCGCTTGGAATTTAGAGTTGGATATTTATTATTTATATATTTTTAATTAATTCATATTATATTTTAAATTACACCTAATCCCATTATTATAAAAAATAATTATAAAATTACCTATTGCATTTTGAAAGTGTTCAACCAACCGCACCCTAACAGAAATATTCATGCTTCCCCTTACATAAATACTCATCATGCATCAATGACTTTTATTTATTTATCTATTCCATATTTCGATAATTCACCTTTTAAGGCTTTTATTTAGTTAATGGTCTTTCTTATTCTGTCATGTATGACGAAAACTTGCCAAAAAAAATAAAATAAAGGTATGACGAAAACCTAATTAATCAGATATTTAAAATTGTTGCCTTATGAAAAAATATATATATATATAAATTGCATTATCAATTTTAATTCGAGTTTTTATTTTATGGGTTTGCATTTGAAAATATAAAACAAAATTAGTTTTTGATGAAAGTGATGAATAAAATTATTTATCCCATAAATAAATAATTAATTTGCTAATAATTATTCTTTTCCCATAACAAAGTTGAGATGGGAGGTGCCGAGAAGGGGTTGCTGCTGCGTCGCCGACACTGGTGGTGGTGCTAGCGTGCGCCGGTATGTTGATGATACCGGAACTCTCTTCCAATTACTTCACCATCGGAGGGAAGATGGGCTTGACTACCATTTGGGCTCCAGACAAACATTTCTACCTCGGCGACTGGCTCTGTAAGCACTCTCTCTCTCTCTCTCTATCCTTATCTTTCTCTCTCTAGACTACCTTCTCTTTACCTACCCTCAGATCTGCTCTTTCGTGCATGTATTTGATTTCTTTATCATGATATAAAATAGATCAGATGTTTTCGTTCTCTTTCATTAATCTCTGAAATTTACCCTATTAGAACTGATTTCAATGGAATTATTTAGAAATTGATTACTATTGAAGTTCTTGTTTAGATTTTATTGGCATACTCTTGACTCTTGTTAATTTATGCACACTGAGGGAAATATTCATCATTTGGTTCATATTGTTTCTTCATTTTCTTTCCATTCAAGCAAACAATCCTAGGGAAATACTAATCATCTATCCTAAGCATGTTCCTTTAATCAATCCTATAAGAACCACCCAACACATGACATATATATATGACAGATATGAACATAGTGTAGTAAAATATTTCTAAAAGAACGCCAGTTTAAACTGGAAATTTTACTTACTGAAAAAAAAACAAAAATTTGAAATATCACCATTAGAAAAATTGGCTAAGTGTCAATACATTTTTACTATGCGGGATGACACGATGCATGAGCTACATGAATGTAAAAAATCCCCTATCATACATGCATCATTTGGATGTGAACATTTTAAAATTGGTTTAAGGAATCATCAATTGATGCAATATTATGAACTCAAATTGACAAGTGTGAGGCTCGAGTTTGAGTCTCAAGCTTAGATATATGTTCAAAATAATACCCAATGTTATGTTTGTTTGGCGTCTTCTACTTGCAACACGCTGCTTAAATGAAACATATATTGAGTAATTCACTTTTAGGTTGTCTTATGAACAATCATTTCCACTATATATGTGTGTCGGAGAGCGTGTAATGTCCTGTCCCGACCTCCGTTCGGTTAGGTGGTCTCACTCTAGGCATGTTGGACTTGCCTGATCTTAATTTCATCTACACTAGTGGAGTAATTTTGATAATGACAAATACTAAAAGGAAAGGGCGATAATGAGGCCGTTCGCACATGAACTTGTATTCTCAAGCATTGCATCAAGAGCATGTGAGAATATACACTTGATCCATGACTGAGGACTCAAAGTCACATGGGCCTCCTGATACCTTTGTTCTTAATCAAATTAGCATTGAAATATTATGAAAAAATAATTGTAGAAAGAAAAGTACAAGATAAGATGAACAAGTGCATTGAGCATGCCAGCCAATTCCACTTTTGTTGATATCGACAGCTACCACAGTGTGTCGATATCTCAACCACTCTAACTGTTTTTCGATATATCTACCACTATAACTGTTTGTCGATATCTCAACCACTAGGTCCACTACCATATAGTATGCGAGTGTGGCTGATGAACAATGTACGTTACATTATATGGAAGTAACCAAAAGGACTTGGAACATCTTTCTACCACTTTTCTAATCTTACTTAAACCCACCCATGCACCCCATCACCATTCACAACCTCTCTCTTTCTCTCTCGCTGACACCGTTCTTTGTATCATCTTTTCTTCTCCTTTTCGTTCTGCTTTGTAATTTCTCTCTCTCCTCTGGTTGTGATTTTTCCAACAATGGAAGCGAAGCTACTAAGAGTCGCCTCTCCTGCCATGCAAACCCCTACTGGTTTTAAGTTTTCTAAACCCAGTTGCCTTTTTGGGTACCAAAACATCCGGATTTGTAGCTTTCGATTCCTCAATCCAGGCTTGTCAACGCAGGGTATCCGATCTGCTCAAGGTTCAGCAAGTTCCTTTGGGTATATAACTATCTCTTCCTTCCAATACACTAATGTTCTTATTTGAACAACTGAGCTTTCAGTTATCCATTGAACTAAATAATCATTCTGCTTTTTAATAGCAACTTGTTTTTGTTATAATCATTTTTCATATTTGTTAACTAGTTTTAGATATGGATATGTTTTAATTGTCTGCCTGTGTTTGATTGCAAGTGTATCACAACACAGCTCATCTGTTTTGGATATTTGTTCTCATTACTGCTGAATGTGTTATTTTCCTTCTAGTTTAAGACATGATATCTCTTAAATCTCCTTTTTGGTCAGATTTGATGATTTGAAAGTGTATTATAACATTTATACTCTGATTTTTGCTAGTTGCCATCATTACTCTTGGATGTGTTATCTTTTACTTTGATTAATGTTGTAACTTTCTGCTTATTTCTAGAAATTGTTTCGAATTTAATTTGAAAATTAAATAGATTGAAAGGAAAGACTGGTTAGATGTATGCTTCATAACTGTCAATTCTAATATTTTTCAACTTTAAGTCTATATATCAGAGGCGGATTGTGCTTTAATGCAATGTAGATAAATCATGCAGTCAAATTTTTGGGGCCCTGATTTTGGGTGAACTGACAATTCTGTTCTTCTATTTGTTTTTTCAATACATGTGAGGTGGATTTGGTCTTATGCAATGTAATATTCTCCCCCCTTCCCCCAATGTATTTGTGAATTCGTATCAATGTTTTTTTTTTTTTTTTTTTTTTTAATGGATTTAACATACATTACATGTTTGTAGCTTACTATGCTTCACAAAATTATAACTTGTTATAACTTTTATTGTGGCATGCACCGTATTTTTTTGGACATTGAATTAGAACCGCATAATAGAAAAATTCCTGCATTGTTTTTGGACAGAAGAGCTTACAACCTTATGAATGTGCCTGATTTGCTCACAAGCATGCACGTTATACCATGCATTATGATTTCCCTGTGGCATCTGTATTATCTAGAGAGATTTGACTTGATCACAGAAAACGGAATGCCCTCGCATGGTATAAAATACTGCTTTTGGCTTACTAATATGCACGAGTATAATCAAGGTCAAATATGCAAGCGTGCATGCATTAACAATCTACACATTGGTTTTTCTGGTCTGCAATTCCAATTGTTTGTATATGCTTTGATGTATAAGTGTGCTTAACTGCTTATTAGTAAGCAATCTCTTAAACTCGAAGCTATATTAAGAAGTCTTTTAGGTTGCTCGTTATACTATTAAGAGCTATCGAATTGAAATCATATGTTCCTTAATTTTTGAGAGAGTCTCTAATTGAGCCTGACTTTCCATTAAGTGCTCGTAGTCTGATTTGTAAATTGGTGCATAGTTCATAAGTCACTAATTAGTGGCACATATCATAAATATTGCAAATTGATTTGAATGATGGTAATAAAATGAAGAAGACGACAAAGAATTGTATTTTTGTTAATTTCTATGGCCAATTGTTTATTCCTAAAGCTAAAATTTGGTATAGTATATGTCATTATACCGTGCATGCAGAAACATGCTCCTGGAGATGCATGTCCATTATTAAAATTACATAAAAGAAAAAATTATCATTTTTTAAAAATATTACTATTATTATTATTTTAAGTATCTGACTTTACGAGCCTTTTTCAATTAGAGGTCTGAATTTAGTTTTTTTTTTGCTGCTAGATTGCCAAAGAAAGAAAGTGTTGATGAAAGTGAGAGTTGTACTCTCGAGAGTATAAGACAATCTTTGATCAGACAAGAGGATAGCATCATATTTAGCCTCTTGGAGCGAGCTCAATATTGTCTTAATGTAGAGGCATATGATCCTAATGCTTTCTTCATGGAAGGTTTTAATGACTCTCTAGTCGAGTTCATGGTTAAAGAAACCGAAAAGCTTCATGCTCAGGTATGTGAATATAATTTGTTGAAGGAAGAAAAGTATGATGTCATTTTAGGTTTGTGATTGATTTTTTATTATACATTAGGTGGGAAGGTTCAAGAGTCCGGATGAGCATCCTTTCTTCCCAGATGATTTACCTGACACAAAGCTGCCTCCTTTGAAATACCCCCCAGTGAGAGTTATTGCATGCAATTAAACTATTGCTTTTGCCTTGAGTTGCAACTTGCTTCACTTGGGACGTTTTTTTTAATGGTTATCTTGGACATTGTTTTTTTAGTTCATTAGAATTTGAGAGTTAGATAAACGAATGCCATATAAACTACAAGAAATTTTTTATAGAACAGTTATTAGCCCAATTATCTTATATGGTGCAGAGTGTTGGGCTTTAAAAATGAAGGAAGAACAACAAATTCATGTAGTGGAAATGAGAATGTTAAGATGGATGATAGGAGTCACTAGGAGAGAGAGGTTTACAAACCAAAATGTGAGGAATAAATTAGGTTTGGCACCTATTAGTGATAAGATTAGAGAGGGTAGACTTAGGTGGTATGGACACATACACAGAAGACCTATATCTGCACCCGTGAGAAGAGGAAGGTTAATTTGCATAGAGGTTAGGAGGCGGAGGTGGCCCCAAAGTTAACAGGGGATGAAATCATTAGAAACGATTTTTAAAAGTTAAATATTAGAGGATAAATGGCTTGTAATAGAATAGAATGGAAAAAGAGAATTCATGTGGCCGATCCCATTCATATGGGATTAAGGCAAGGATGATGATGATGAATCTCAGCTAATAGCATGGTTTGAAAATAAAAACTTAATCAAATCCTGGACAATACAGAAAGGTTGGAACATGGCAAGCTTTGAGAGTTTTTGGCCATGACATCTTCAGACCCTTTTAACCCTGTGAAGTCAATCACTTATTTTTTGATAAGTAATAAAGTCAATCACTTATATTTGCTAGATACATGAAAACTCTATAATTCAACTTATCTTTTGTGGTCCACAGTCAAATACATCATTTAACCTTGACATCAATATAGTAAGATTTTTGTGGTATTAACTATTACAGATGACTATTGGTCTACCTCTGTGTGTGTGTGTGTGTGTGTGTGTGTGTGTATGGTATGTGCATGTTCGTGCACACTTATTGACTTATTGTCAATTTCAATGAACAATCATTAAGTCATAATCTTGCCACGCACCACTAATTTATCCTTGTTTCTGATATGCAAATAGGTTCTGCATCCCATTGCTGCTGATTCAATCAATTTCAACAATACAATATGGAATATGTATTTTAGAGATATTATTCCTAGATTAGTCGAGGATGGAGATGATGGTAACAGTGGATCAGCTGCAGTTTGTGACACAATTTGCTTACAGGTATACAGTTTACCCAATCCATGGACTAGAAATAATTTTATTGGGTTAGAAAATTAATATTGGGAAATGATTTCACTAGGGTGAGGCATATTTAATTGTGTTTTGATGATTCACAATGGGCTCTGTATTATTTGATGTGCTGATTCCCATAAAACATGTTTTGTAATTTAACACGGGCTTGGAGCCAATAACTCCAATCACTATGTTCAAATTTTTTGTCTTTTAATCAATTTACTTACCCCTCCCTCTTTCTTCTCTCTCCTTCCCCTGTTGGGGGACACATGGCATAAAATATTGCTGTTTTCTATATAGAGTAATTCTATTGTTGGACCCTAATATGCAGGCTCTATCTAAGAGAATCCATTATGGTAAATTCGTTGCAGAGGCGAAATTTCGAGCGTCACCAACTGAGTATGAAGCTGCCATTAGAGCACAAGTATATTTCCTTTCCAGATGCATTTCGGTGCATCTTTCATCTTTTTCTTGGATTTAACTTTGTCAAAGTTCTGTGATTTACAATATGTGTTGAACATGGTTTCTTGGGCTATCTTATGGTGTGATGGTCTTTGCAGGACATTTGCCAACTGGTGGATTTGCTGACACACCGGGCATTAGAGAAGACAGACAGGAAGAGAGTAATGAGGAAAGCTAAAATTTTTGGGCGAGAGGTGCCGGTCAATGTAGAGGAAGACAGAGCTCATCCAGTGTTCAGAATAGATCCATGCTTAGTTGCTGACCTCTATGTCAAATGGATAATGCCGTTGACTAAGGAAGTTGAGCTTGAGTATTTACTGAGACGGCTAGATTGAAGGGGTTAGTTCACGCAAATGTGTATGTGTAATACATATATACATATGTACACACGCATATGTAATAGTGTCTCAGCTATGCCCTTTCTCTGTGAAATAAATGGTGGTTTCTCATATATTTTGACCATAGTGAATTGGTTGCCGGTGGAGAAGTTAGAAACGATGGTGGTGTTGGGCATCTTAGAGAGTCTCATAGTCCGTCGTTAGACATGCGTATCTTCTTGTTACACAAACGTCACACCATAGGAATTTTAAACTTGTAAAATGTAAGGTGAGTTAAATTTGTTGTTTGTTTTAGTACTTAGGCCTAGGGCACCAAGTGTGATCATGGGGATATTGAAATGTTATGGATAGGAGCAAATGATGACGGGAATTGTTTTTGCCAAGTAAAATGGGGGACCCACTTATGAGCCATGTTGGATTGCAGAGAGATACCACATGCGGATGGGGAAAAATAACGAGTGAAGCATCATTATTTTAGTTTAGTGGGCCTCCTCATTCGAAAATAGATGTATGCATGGGTAGGGATGCAGTGGGACGGGTTGGGGCGAAGATTTTATTCCCATTTTCATTTCCGGTCAAATACACCCCCCGCCCCCCCATTAGCCTCTGTCTCCGCCCCCTGCATAACCTTTTTAAAATTTTAATTCACCTTTAATAAAATTAATACAACTATAATATTTTTCAACCTAATAATTTAATAAAATTTTAACACAATTATAATAATTTAAAACATATTATTTCAACTCGATCAAACTTATAACAAAACCACATATAATATTTTTTGGAATAGTCTGGAAATTTTCAACATGATCAATCAAAACAGATAACATTTTTCCAACAAGGACTATGTTACGAGAGAATAGATTTAGGGTTTCAGAAGTGAATATATTATATATATAGTTATGTAATTTAGTAATATTTTATAACATGTAAGGTCAGTTTTGTAAAAATGCACTATAAACAGTGCAAGGAGGGGCGAGGTTACCCTCCCCGGCCCGGCCCAGCCCCATCCCCGCCGGGGTTTCAAATACAATCTCTATCCCCTTCCCATTTACATAAATGGATCCCCAAATCCGCCATAACAGGGGAGGGGACCCGCCGGATATGGAAATTTTGTCATCCCTACGCGTGATAAGAGGCTTTGATTCTTTTTTACCCGCATTTCAAGTTGCTACGTGATTTTTTTATTTTTTTCGGAAGATAAGGATGATAAATATAAATAGAAGGATGAAAATTGCAGTGAACAATTTCGGGCATTATTCGTGTTCAAATAAAAAAATAAAATTTTCAAAAGAGTAATGCCATGCTGAATTGCAATGTGCTGAGGATGTTTAGTTCAATTTTTTTTTTTTTTTTTTTTTTTTATAATAATTTTTTATTTTCAGATAAATAAAATTTAAAACGAAGTCAAAATTCGTTTTGTGGTATATTTTTCCAAAATTAAGTTTCTATAGTTTTATTAAATTGTTTTAATATGAAAAAGGCCCCAAGAATTATTCATCAGTAATGCTTTTTGAGTCAAAGTTGTTATTATAGAGAAATTATTAGATGGTACAATTGATACTTGTTAAACCAGTAAAATTTAGAGTTGAAAATATTGTTTCACTAGAGTGTATTAATATATTTTAAATTGTCATGATTGGAGGACTACCATTGATTTAATCCATCAAGTATTAAATAGATTAGAACCATTTAATAATTTTTTATTATTTTAAAGATTTTTATTTACTTATAATTATACATACGTGTAGTCTCCTCAAATTAATTGATATTAATTTTGTACTGTTATGCAAATATATATATATATATATATATATATATATATATATTAATTTGAAAAGAGGAAGGGCGTGACAGAGAACTGAGAAGTACTGAGAGCTGGAAGAGGATAATGATAAACTTTTCTTGATCTAGCTACAAGTTAGAAGCACAGGTCATTGGACTTATTAATGCATGTATGTATGAAATGGATTAAAGGAAAGTGATATGTTTTTATATTTTCTTCTTTCTCAATTAACAATTTTAGTATTCAATGATTTTGGTATATTGCCTTATTTTGTTAACCCCTTCTTTTTCTCTTGCTTCTTGTCTCTTTAAATTATTTCTCTATTTTGTATTAAACCATATCTCCGCTGTGTTATTAGGATTTAATATAAATATATTTTTTTTATCGACAAGAAATGCACATACCCATTTTGTCTCAAATTATTACCATCTATTTTAAGAAATAGGAGATGTACCACAAGAATACAAGATCCTTGATAATTGTAAATTTTAAAGAAAAATTTGCAATATTTAAGGAAGTATCCTGTAATCAAATTCATAATTTTCATTAAATAAAGAATAAATAATAAAAAATAAAAAGTAAATAAGGTTAAAAAATAAAAAGTAAATAGTAAAAAGGTTGATATGGTATAAAGAAAAGTGGAGTGGAATGGTCCAAGACTGAAGTGTCAATTTTAACCCGGACAATTAAATTAACCGATATACCAAATAAGCCCCCTCTCTCTTCTGACGATATATACAGCGAACGGAACACTAAACAAATACAGCTGCATTTTAGAGAGAGAGAGAGAGAGAGAGAGTTAAATGGAGGGGTTGCGAAGGAGCATTGCGTCGCCGACGCTGGTGGTGGTGCTAGCGTTCGCCGCGATGTTGATGATACCTCAGGTATCTTCCACTCGGTTCATCGTCGGTGCGAATATGGGCTGGACCAGCAATGTTAACTACACTATTTGGGCCAGAGACAAACATTTCTACCTCGGCGATTGGCTCTGTAAGCGCTCTCTCTCTCTATCCTCGTCTTTCTCTCTCTTGACTACCTTCTCTTTATCTACGGACGCTCAGATCTGCTCTTTCGTGCTATTCGCATGGTTATAACTTATAAGTTCCTACTTGCTTCGACCTGTTCATCAATTCAGTGTCTCTCTCCATGTGTGTGTATATATATTGCATTACACTTTGCCTATCAATGTTGCTGCTAGATCTGTTAGATTTTCAAGTATAAACTAATACAACAGAAGGAAAAATTCTAATATGAAAGCTGTTAATAAATTAGTTACTACAACTGAAGTAATTTTAAATCATTTGATCAAATCATTTGATTCTCTCTAGATAATCTCTAAAACTTTTTTCCATACGGCATTTCTTTCAGCTGAATCATTCAATAGTTCATGTTTCGAACTCGATTGCTTAACTCTTGTTTGCTCACGATCTTCTCTGGTTTGGATCTGCCCTTTTAAGCTCAGGTTCTGTTTCTTACTATTAGTTTTGCTTCATTAATTAATCATTTCTTTCTTTAATTTCTAGGGTTTCCTTTTAATTTGTTAATGGTCACTGTGAGATCCACTTATTTCTGGACCTTTGGTTTAGGTCGTATTAGACCCGGGTATTAACTCACCGTGTCTAACTCAGCGAGTCATGTGCTGTCTCTGGTTAAATTTAGCATGGCATTCCATTCCATCGTGGACAATCTAGATTCCAAGTTTCAACAATACATAAGATTTAAGCTTTTTGGGATTGTTTGGTTGGAAAATTGATCTCTTCATGTATAAAAGTTACTTTTGGTTTTGCTAAAGCATTTTCTTAAACTGAAAACACACTAGAGCTCCGTTTGTTTGGACTGAAAATATTTTTTTATTTTCTGGTTGTTGTAAAATATTTACAAAGAAAAATAATTTATCTATAAATTCATATCCCGCCCGATGGACTCGACCTTAACCTTGACAAAGTAAAAAAGTAAAAATAAAATAATATTTCAGGTCGAAACAAACCGAGCCTAAAAAGTAAAAATTGAAACAACACAGCATGATTGTGTAAAAATTATTCTTGGTTGGTTGGAAAGGTGGCAAAGCGTGTACTCAAGCGATTAGTACTCAACCCAATTTGTGGCTTTAACAAAGTTATTAGGTGGTCCACTAAGTGCAGCATGATACCATCATAGCAAGAGACTGATTGTATGAGTCCTTTTACACTTCATATCTTCTTTATTATTACAGGCTACTTAGCGAATTAGTGTTGAGTAGGTTGCTTTTTCTTGTCACTGTAATACTTCTAACCTAATCAAAAAGTCAGCAAATCCTTAGCCAATTAGTGTTGCTATAAGAAAATTGTTCACTTGAATCCACTTCACGGCCTTTTATTTTTGCTTTCCTTCTTTCTGTTACCCAAGATCATATCATTCTGCAAAATTTGTGTCAATTGTTCCCTTTCCATTATAGATAGATTTGATATTGAGAATTTTAGCTATTTAAAGTTATGGATGAGGGGCATTCCTTGGTGCAGTGGTGCACCAATAAAATGTTTAGGCTATCAAGTGTGAAACTGTGGGTACAAACCTTGAAAGCAGCACTTTGTGTAAATAGTACCAAAAGTTATGTTTGTATATGGTCCATCCCTCTTGACACCCTCGATTAATGGGTACCACACTAGGTGATTACTCTATGCATAGAGTTGTGGGTTAATTCAATATTTTTTTTTGTGTTTTTTATAAGTTATTTCTCACATACAACTTGTGTTTCACACTCCAATGCCAAAGGCGTCACAGAAATGCCCTAATGCTTCTGTTTTTAGACTAAATTAAATCTGGAAAACCCTTAAGACCGACAATCTACTCAACCATTTTCTTGTAACCATTGGCGATGCTTTGATAATGATCTTTTGATTAAATATATTTTACATCCTTATTATCAAATACTTCAAAGTAACACATTTTTTTCTTTTTATCTAATTAACGAGTTATATAGCAGTGTGTTAACCAATACACCTGATAAAGGGTTGGGATGAGAACTTCTGATTTGGGTTTGTTTAAGAGTTAGATTACCATGTATCAAGAAAAATGCAGAAACTAAAGATTTGTTTCTATTTCAGTATCTCTATTAGATATATCATTTCATATCTTCAAAGCATAGCATTGTGGCCCCAACACTCTTCTGTTACTTCTATCTATAGCTTGAGTTTTGTTTGTGAACACCTGGAAACTTGGTCTGCCCTGTGCCAAGGTAAAATTGGCAATGTGACAGCTGTGCCAAATAAATCACCAAAATTTTTAGAATGCCATTCCTAATTCGTGACTAGTTGTTGCTGTTTGGTAACTTCTCTTTTATTTTCCCAGTTTTTGTGTATGATCGGAACCAGATGAATGTATTAGAGGTGAACAAGACCAATTATGAGACATGCAACTCCGAACATCCACTTCACAATTGGACTACTGGAGCTGGAAGGGATGTGGTTCCACTTAATGTGACTCGGCATTACTATTTCATTAGCGGGAATGGTTTCTGTTATGGTGGCATGAAGTTGGCTGTCCTTGTTGAAGAACTACCACCCCCTCCCACAGCTTTACCCGAAAAGTCTGGTGCTTCAAGATCTACTACATTTAGAGGCCAGATTGTCATACCAGCTGTTTTTGCAATTGCTGCAGTATGGGACTCGTTCATTCGGTTCTGGTAGCGATTCATATCTTCAGACGTTGAGCGCTTTTCTGTCAGCTTTGCACCAATTGCTTAAACGACTTTTGAAAGAAAATTGAGTTGTGTTCCATTGGTTTTTTCATTACTTTTTTAATTTTTAATTTTCTTTTTAGATTCATGTTTGTCCTTTCGTGTGTTATTTATTGTCCATCATGCTAGACGTAGAAATTAATGACTTTTTATTATAAGGTGGGTGGATGGGTTTGAAAATTGTTAAATATGTTCACCAAAACAAATTTAAAGAAATGATTTCTTGGAGTATTCAAGTGCGTGAAATGCGGAAATGAATGATGCAGGAACTGTGCTGGACCTTTAAACCATGTGCTTATGTCAACCATATGGTCCATATTCTTTATTCTGCAATTGACTCTGATTTCCTATGTGTGTGTGTGTAATTTTATGATTATAACGTGGCCACATGGGGGAGATTTGGTTTTGAATAAAACCTTTTGAATGTTTTTGGACCCCCAAATCTTTACCTTCTCGGAGTGCCTGTCTCTAAAAGTTGGCACCACATTATAAATGTTCACATGCTACTTTTATTTTGGTCACCTTTATGTCCATAGGAAAAAAAAAAAAAAAAAAATTTGAAGTTTACTTGCTTCACTATGCGTGGGGCTAGTAAGTCAATGACGTGCACGTGAAGGTGATAGGATTTGAAACATTTGAATGGACAATGCTCAAATCTGTGTCGTTGATGTCTGTAATTGTGTAGCACACATTTGAGAGGACTGTCACCGACAGATCTTTCGTTTGGCACCGAAGGGGAAGAGCTTCGTCAATTCCTCTGGATCCATTGTGAATGACTGGGATTTTCAAGTGGTCTAGAAATTTTAGGCCCACTGGGTTGCACTTTATTAATCAAGACAAAGTCATATCCGGATGGCCTGCCCGCTCAATCTAATCGGGTTGGAAGCGACTTAGAGAATGAAAGTCAAACCTCTTCCATTCCAAAGAATAGTCTACTTTTAAAGATGTACACATAAATAAATATTTTATTATATACATTTCATAGTCTAATTATATTTTTTATTAATTTTTTACAAGAATTATAATTTTGGTTTTTTTTTTTTTGTTTGTATTTAATTATTTTAATAAAACAATTAAAAAGCGGGCGTATATAGACGGGTTGATGAATTATGACCTATGCGTAATAATCACATCAATGTCAATTTCACCACGGATCTTTGCCTTCCTTTTTTAAGCTTCACTTTCTAATAAACCAAAGAAACATAAATGTATTATGTACCAATTTTCTCAATGGGGATATAATTAGTGTTAAAAGTTTTCAGATGGCTTGCATTTCTTTTATTTGAATTCTATGTTTCATTGATATTACTTAAAACGACCATCATTAACTCCAGAAATACAAGTTTATAACACTAAAATAAAAAGACCTCAATCAAACTAAGATACCAGGTAAAGTTTTCAGCGAAATAAAGATCATCTTTAGCACCTCAAAGGCCTCCATGATGACACAGAAATATCAACCATTACACGTCGGAGAAAAGCATGGAATCTGTAAATAATGGATTAAATTGATGTGTAAGAACGAACAAATGTAGTCTCTCTCGCGTGCGCTTGCAGACACACACAACACATCCACACGGAACAGTAAAAAAAAAAAAAAAAAAAACCGAGCAACAAACTTGAGTACTGTATAGTCTGTAGAATCTCTCTGTGTGTCTTGTGTATATATATACAGTATATGTTTAGATTCTTTATTATCTTGTCGTTTAATGATGAAAAACTTCTAGCAATGGTAGTTTCTGATGTGTTGTTCTCTTTATTTTTCTCTTACTGTGAGGTTCTTGTTTTCACTATATATGAGAGTGGGTGCATGCTTTGGGTAGGTGAGCATTTGAAATTACATTAGCTGGTAAAAGACCTTCATATAACAAAAAAGAAAGATGTACGATTAAAATGATGGTGTTTGGAACACGAGCCAAAAATGAAACTGCTCCACTGTATTTTACATGCATTCAGACTGATGAGCTTATTTACATGCATTCAGACTGATGAGCTTATTTGCTTTCTCATCTGAATTGATCCTGTTTCAGCTCTCAAAATTGTATTAATTTGTTAGCATCATTTTCTCTAGTGACTCCATTTTTTCTATTTGATGTTCCTATAATATTGCATCAATCAGGTTCAACTTTTCCCTTTTCTCGGGGTACAAATACAAATGAGAACAAGGCTCAGGGGTAAAACCTCGAAAAGGTGGCACCAGCAGCAGCAGCAGCAGCAGCTCAAGTTACAAGGGACTTTTAACAACTTCGATGGGCTGGCGAAGGCTGGCTAGGAAGTCTGCACAAGCTTTTCCCCTCTCTGAGGGTGCGGAGGATCTTCGCTTTCCTAATTTCTGTGCATCACAAGTCTGCAAAAAAAAAAAAAAAAAAAAAAGTATAATTATTTAAATGGCTAGGTAAATGTACGTCCTATAAAATTAGAAATTATTTTTGCAGTTTAATTGTATATCACGAAATTTTTTATTTTTCAGAACTGAGTTTCTTGTACCTCTATAAAACCGTGATCTACCAACAGATGGATGGATATTACTTTCTTGCCTTCCATCAGTTTTATGTGATTGAGGTAACAATGGCCCCGAAAAATGAACCTTGTGCCGATCATTGTAATCCTGATACATCATCATCAGATAAGACTGTCAAAGCAAATTCAAGTAAGGAGATTGCTCTTGTCATTGATAAAAGAGAGTGAAATGAACATTAGTCATCTGTTTTTTTTTTTTTTCCCTTTTTCTAGTTACTTTTTTGTCATCTTTTTTCAGCTATCCTAGGTCATAGGCTAGGATCCCCCATCTATTCCTCTCCCTCTTCCTCAACCCCTTGCCACTACTGGGACTTGATGAACCCTACACCTCCTGAGTGGGGGAGAGCAGAGGATATCACTTCAGCTATTAGCATTTTAAAAGCTAGACTAAAACAGAGACATTTACTGAAAAGAATCCATTGCACCCACATTTGTGAAATGAGATGACCTATGTCTGTGAAACGAGATGACGTGCAGAGACCAAATACATAAATATTCATCATTAATGAAAACAATTGCAATTGTAGACTCGGCCAAAATAAATTTGAAACAAAAAAATAATAATAATAAATCATATATTTCTTACATAACTTACCACTGATAATTCCTGGGAATGGTATAAAGCAGATGCATTGAAAGAATCTCGGCGATCAAGTTGGCTTTGCTGTCTCGGTATTACATGCTTAACAATCTCGTGTGAATCACTGTTTCTCGTATCAGGACTGCCCCTACTTGGAAACCCCTCATTCTCTTGCCCCAGTGCACCTGCATTTTGAGTTCTTGAACTGGACTGACCATGTAATCTTGTGGATGCAGCATCCCCCTTTTGTCTTTTTGTCCATGGAAAGCCACTTGATGTTGTGGCTTGTACTGGGACTGAGCGAATACTGTCCCCTTGGGATATCTCGGTCACCTGAGAAGCTTCGGACACTGTATCGTATGATGACTTCATTGTCTCCCTACACTCAGTAGCTGCTTTTCCTTTAATAAGAGGACGTGTGCTGTTACCATTGTTTTTATGAGGAAATTGAGAGCTGCCTTCCATCTCCTTCATAATTAACAATACAAAATTACTGGAACTATCATACTTCCATAAATGTGGAGAGAGAGAAAGATAAAGAAAGAGAGAGACCTCAGTTGGCACCACATTATAGAAAGTGCTTGGTTCTTGCAAAGCTTTACGAACTCTTCTTGGATTTCTTGAGGCACCAGATGCTCGCACTCTAGCACCAGGCTTTTTCCTGAAATGATAAGAAGTTAAATTATAGGACACATGAGGAAGGTATATGCCCATCCTATCATACAAAATAAAAATTCTTCATACTCTCAATGCTCTATATGCCTATTGACTTCTTAATTCTTGATTTTTAGCATGGTTCCTGGATACACTCGTGTGGCAAACATACTGACCAGCCTAATGGAAATGGCCGGAATCTGTATATGTCATGTCATATATATATCAACAATTTGCACAGACACAAGTGCACCCTCATTGTTTCACATTCAGACTTGATTCGGACCACTGAGACCAGGTGAACTCAAAACCTTTGGTTGGCAGTAAAGAATAAGATACCCCACCTTCGTGCTTCTTCACGCAATTTTGCATCAATCTCTTTGTTTGGTGGGTACTTTGGCAAACTTGAGGGATCACATGCATAAGGCTTTGTCGAGAAATACTGGAAAAAAGGAATAACACAAAGGCATAAAAATTGATAATTAGTCTTAATAATATATGAAAAGGAAAAGGGCCGGTGAGGATCTTCAGGGTACTATAGATTGAGAAAATAGTTGGGAAATGAACTGTCTACAGAGCAAAAGCTAAGTAATGGAAGTCAAATAATCGCAGAATGTTACACTGCAACAAGTTCCCACTATTGTTTGGATTCATGTAAAATTAAAAATTAAATAGAGAGATATGGTAGACTAACTTTCCATTAAGGGTTACCTCAGAATCAAGGGCAGATGAAGCAGTCCCTCGCTTGTAAGGTTCTATTGAAAGAAAAGTCTCTATTAGGTTCACAGCAGTTTTTGGGAATTCTTTACACCTCTGCCGAAGAGTACTTTCGTAAGGATGCTGGGGTTTGAACATAGTAGCAAAAGGAAGTTTAGACCTGTTCCAGTACTCATCAGATGGAGAACCACAAAGCTTGAAAATTTTGTGTAATTGTTCGACCTGCATAAGGGATGAGAACGCTCATAAATTTTCATGCCAAATTAATAATAACTACACAGTAATCTTGTATTCAGTGGTTGGGTAACCCGTATTCATAAATTCCTTTACAGAGTTGAGAAAACGTACACAAGTCTACATATATGTGAGCTCCAAACAAAGAAACTAACTCCCCCACCGCCCCCACCCATCCACCCAACCAACCCAGCAAAGGCAAGCACAAGAGAAAAAAAAGAAAAAAAAAAAAAGAAAAAAAAAAAAAGGAAATGAAATATATAAATCTGCATAATTCATTGCCACTAGAACATCAGTGCCTATAAGAACAAAGATTTTAAAACTTGATGTGGAGAATTATTTTGACTTATAACATAAATTCTGTAGACTCTAGGTAAGGTATTTAAATATATTTTTTATGATTATTATTATTTTTTTGGGTCTTATAGAAAATCACAACAATGTGAAGGAATTCACAACAATTGAGACGTGAAATTTTAAGGATCCTTCTTTTTCCACTATTGTCTATATATTTGGAATCAGGGACACTACTTATGGGGATTCTTAAAAATATGGATTCTTTGGCAAATAGAAGTATTTTTTTGGTAGTGTCCTAAACTATTTTTCCTAACAAGAAAATTTCCATGTATCTCCTTCCAGAAGTTATTAGAAATTGTAAGACGTTAGAATCAAATACTAAAAAATAGTGGGTTTTAAGAAGGTGGGCACCTCAGTTCTTCCCTTAAGGATAGGCTTCCCAATGAAAAGTTCAGCGAATACACAGCCCACACTCCACATATCCACAGATGTCCCATAGTTCGTGGACCCCAATAGAAGTTCAGGAGGACGATACCATAATGTCACTACACGACTTGTTAATGGTTGCCTGCGCTTTGCACTTAGGAAATTTGCCAATCCAAAATCTGCTATCTTTAAAATTCCTTCATTATTTACCAAGACATTGGATGTTTTGATGTCCCGATGGAGTACTCCTTGCGAATGGCAGTGCTCAACTCCAGATAATAGCTGCCGCATATAGCACTTAATCTATATACACAAACAAAAGAAAACAAAAAATAAGTCAATTTAAGGCAATTTCACCATCTTACACACATTTCTGATATAAGCAGATAATATAGGGGAAAATGTTTATCAGACTGAAGTTGCATATTTCTCCTCAAACGTAACGTACAATTTTAAATATGAACAAACCTGTGCATCACTGAACTTGATGTCAGGACATGATAATAGTCCAGAAAGGTCATGTTCCATGTATTCAAACACAAGGTATATGCTACATGATAATCGAGAAGTAATTAAACCCTCCAATTTCATGACATTTGGATGGTCAAGCTTGCGGAGAATAGTTATTTCTCGTGACATAAACCGGACACTTTCTGGCTGAAAAGTGTCAAAGCGCACTTTCTTCAGGGCAACCACCCTACCAGTTTCAACATTACGTGCACGGTATACGCTGCTATATGTACCTTGTCCTATCTGCATATAAAGGAGAAATTGAAGAGGACACTGGTCAGAAACATTCAAATTCATAGGAAGAAGGTGAATATATAAAATATAAACATATACTAGACCATTAGCTGCTGTTTAGTCCAAAATTATAAAGTTGTAATATAAACCATTAAGGCACTAAAAACCATCTTATCAACACACAGTGGCATGTCATCAAACATTTCTGCTAGTTGAGGAATGACCTTTCTGATACCACCTCATGGGGAGATTTTCTCAAATGGGCAGAGTTCTTAATTCATTATTTATTGGTTTACTATATTTGAAGAAGTCCTAAAAAAACTGATTCCCTTGCCACCCAAACTTTTCCCATAATTCACTAGACCTCAACCAAAAGTAGGGATGACTTCACAATGTAGTTTCCCAAAAGCTATTTTTGCGAAAGTACCAGATAAAGCATGGTGTAACTAAAACTAGGGAAGTTCATAATATGAGTAAGCAATAAGCTATATCGGTACAGGACATTTAAATATCTATAGCCACCAAAATTATATAGTTGAGATCACCAAATTATATAGTTGGGATCAAATTTAGAAGAAACATAGATCAAATTGGCTTAAGAATAAAGATATGACATCCTTATGACTTTCACAGAGATACCCATATGCTAATTTGATATGAAAAGGAAATGCTAGTTTGGTAACAGCTGAGTATATAATTACCCAAAACATCCACAAACACATGTAAACACACACTTGTACAAGAAATAAACAAATAATTAATCACATTTTCCAGTATCTATAGACCAATGAATTGTGCTTAAATGGAATGAATTGTGTGAAATGGACAAATAATAATAAGCTAATCAAAGGATAAAAATGATGCTGAGAGAGAGAACAATGCACAAGCTTGGGGGTATTGGCGGGCTACCTTATCCAATTTCTCGAATAAGTCAGACCTGAGGGGCAGCCATCCCTCGATGGCTTCTCCGGCAACGGCGCTGAGCCAAGGGGGCCAACCGGCAGCGACCTGTTCTGCTTCGGTATACCTCCCAAATTTCAAGCTGAAAACAGCCCTTTTCTCAGAGTTTCCCTTCTTGGTGGACTTGGACTTCTTCAATTCGCGATTGTGGTGGTGAACCGAATCCTCCTTCTCCTTCTCCTTTTCCCTTTCCTTCTCTGGTTCCTCCCTTATCTTCTCCAATTCCTCCCCAAACCCACCTCGGTTTCGTTGCAAGGAATCAAAATTCTTTGACGACCCATTACGCTTAACAACCCTAATCGGTGTATCGTAAACGGGCGACGAAGATTTTTTAGACCTTTTCGAGCTAACACAACCCATTACCCCCAAAACCCATCAAGAGTCGATCGAAATCGTGAAAACCTAGATCACCCAAGATGGGAATGGGTCAAAGATGGGGGAGTCCAAATCAACCCCTACATTAGCTCCAGATGGGTTTGCATTAGCACAGAGGAAAGATTGATTCACCACAATCGGCTAAAAAAACGTTCTATTTTGGGTGCAAAAGCTCTCCGTCCTTTCTCTTTCATCTCCGCTTCGCGAGATCTGCGGAGGAGGCCAGAGGATATTGCTGTGTCCGGAAACAAAGGAAGAGACATTCTTAGGACCAAATTTGTTCATCTTGTTGCAGTTGTACTGTGTTTAGCAATACATACATAAACATATATATATATCTCTGTGTGTACACACGTGTGTAACCGTTAGTTAAATAAAGCACCAACGGAAATTACCGAGAAAGATGGGTGGGCCTGTCCAGAATGGTGATTGTGGGCCAACTCAGATTAATTTAAGATGATGCATTTGGACTTTCTTTTATTTGTTTATAATTTACTTTTTGAGCAAAGAACACACCACCTCTTTTTACTTTGGATATATAACTCTTTTAAAAAATTTAAAATATTGTCAAACTAAAATTTTTCAACAGTCAATAGTTAAAAAGTACCATTCACAAACCACGTACATGACTAATTAATTATATTAAATATCAAAAATGTCTTACCCTTTTTGTATATAAAGGCTATAATAGTCATATTACATTAACTGAATTTTGTATTTTAATTGTAAAAAGGGTATTTTAGTATTTTTATTACTTCATTAGCAACAAATGAGTGAATATCTTTATTCACTCCTAAAATAAAAATTAATTGTTCGCTCCTAGAATAAAAATTAAGGAATTTTTAGAATCTATAAGAATTATATGCATATTGCAAGGGTGTTAAATGCTTGCAACCTATTTATTTATGTATAAGGTTTATGCTGAAAGTTTGGAACCAGTTTAAGAATATACTTTTAAAATTATTGGTTAGTTTGGAGAGTGCGCAAAAACTTGTCTCATCCTAACAAGTAACAACAAATAATAATGGTGTAAAAAAATCATTTTATTATAATTTTTTTCCAAGATAATTTTGAATTTTAACAACAATATTTTAGTTATTATCATTAAATATATCTATAGCTTGCGTTTTTTACAATACTTGTCTTAAATTTGTTCAAGAGATATATATATATATATATATATATATATATATATATATATAATCATCCGAACTCACTTGACTCCGAAAACACTTTTATTTTCGGAGAAAATTTTGGGAAGCACAATTTGACAAACACAAATATTTTTTTATTCTAGTTCATTTTTCAAAATCAAATTATATTCTGTAATACTAAACAAAAAATATAATTTTATAATGGTTGCCAAACAAAAATATTAACAAATTAAAAGCACAAATATAATAATACGGAATTTATTTCTCTAGTTTTTTATTTTTAGTTGTATAGAGTCAAAATTTATTTAGAATTTTGCTGGAAATTAATTTCTGAAGCAGTTTGGCATGAAATTTTTCTTTACTTTTTTTATAAAATTAAATGATTTTGTATTTTAAGTTGTAGGGGTTCTTTTTTTTTTTTTAAAACTAGGTAGTAAATAATAATATAATAGTGATATCATGAATACAAATACGAAGGAAAACAGATGAGATGGTGGTAGGGCAAGTATACAATATCTTATGACAGCTTCCTTTTCTGGGGTTGGTTATTCCTTCATAGGACAGTACTATTTATAGATTCGGATTCCATTGGTTATTATCCAATGGTCCCTTCTATGATTCCTCGCATGCATTACTCCCAATCTGGATTACATGAGTAATCCTGGAGATTTAGGAGTCTAAAGGGTCTAATCCTTTCCTCGAGTCTTGTCCTATATTGCCATGTCACTTCTCCCTTAATCAGGGGCATTAAAAGTTGCTTGGCCGTCGGTTGGTCAAGCCTGACACAACATTAATTGTGATTTTAAGGTTTGATGTCATGACATGTATAATCCCATCATCTTGTTAATTGGGCATTGCTGAGAACGAAGGCACCTCTTAACTTCTCATCTACCAATCCAAGATCCTCCTAAGTTTCCCAATCATAGATTCCCTATAGCCGCGAAGACCTTACCTTCGTCTCGCACTATATGCAATCCCCTGATGGCGTAACACCAGGACTCGAGGTATTCGAAAGTTGGTCTGTCAAGGCTTGATGAGCCTGGTGCGGTGCCAGGGTTTAGGGTGCTCGAGGATCATCTTCTCGAGGCTTGATGGGCTTGGTGCGGTTCTAGGGCTTAGAGTGCTCGAAGTTTGATTTCTCAAGACTTGTTGGGCCTGGAGCGATGCCAGGGCTTAGAGTGCTCGAAGTTTGATCTTTCGAGACTTGTTGGGCCTGGAGTGATGCCAGGGCTTAGAGTGCTCGAAGTTTGATCTTTCGAGGCTTGCTGGGCCTGGAGTGATGCCAAGGCTTGATGGGCCTGGAGCGATGCTAGGGCTTAGGGTGCTCGAAGTTTGATCTTTCAAAACTTGCTGGGCCTGGAGTGATGCCAGAGCTTAAGGTGCTCAAAGTTTGATCTGACGAGACTTGCTGGGCCTGGAGCGATGCCAGGGCTTGGGTGCTCGAAGTTTGATCTGATGAGACTTGCTGGGCCTGGAGCGATGCCAGGGCTTGGGTGCTCGAAGTTTGATCTTTCGAGGCTTGCTGGGCCTAGGGATGGCAACGGGGTGGGTTTGGAGCAGGTTTCCTTAAATCCCGCCTTGCCTCATTTAATTTTTTTCAAGTTCATACCCGCTCCGCGACCCGCGACGGGTTGGATTTTCATGTCCAGCCCCGCCGAAAATATTGTGCCCCGTACTCGCCTCGCTAATAATTTTTTTTTCTCCCACTTTTTGGGACTTAATCTGCTGCTATTTAAATGTGAAAAGACTGGGAATGGCACAACATAAATGAAATTATGAATCCCAACAATAAATAAATAAATAAATAAATAACATGCACATAACATAATTCAGAGAACATAATCAACAAAAATAAGGGTTTAATACAACTAAATCATAAGAAGTTCTAAGTTCTAACTTCCACCATAACCAAAACAAAAGTAAATTTAATACAAAATTTACATCCCAAATAAGTTATTAATATTATATATATATATATATATATATATATATATATATATATATATATATATTAAATCTAGTTTTATGCTTAGCGGGGCGGGGGCCCGCGAATATGTATACTGAACCCTTACCCGCCCTGTGACCCGCAACAGATACAAAATTTGTATCTATGCCCGCCCCAACGGTATAAAAGGTGTTCCCATATCCGTTATTAACGAGGCTAGATGGGCCAGGGCCCCGAAGGGGCGGTAAAAATTGACACCCCTAGCTGGGCCTGGAGCGATGCCAGGGCTTAGGGTGCTCAAAGTTTGATCTTTCAAGGTTTGATGGGCCTAGAGCGATGCCAGGGCTTAGGGTGCTCGAAGTTTGATCCTTCGAGACTTTTGATTTTTCAAATTGCCACGAAAGATTTGGTTAGGGCCATATTGACTTGTCAACATGCCACGTCAGCTTCTAATAAATGACACCCACATTTTGCCCCCCTGCACGTGCAACGATTCAGAATGAAATATTGCGTTTGCAAGACTAGGTGGCTAGGTCATTTAATGTTTCGACGAGATTGAAAGGACGCGAGGGTGAAAGGTCGCTTCCAGTCATTAATGCGCCGTCTGTTGCCTCTTCGATTTTGGGGATTCCCGAGGTGAGGGAGTTATTTAAAAGGGGGGGGGGGGGGGGAGAGCAACAACAGTGTGAAGGGTCATTTGTGAACAGAGAACTAAAAGCTGCTACTCTTGCCATTGTGTCCATTATCGCCGGCGAAGAGAACTTACAAAAACTTGAAATTTCGTTCGTATTTACTCGATTTGTGGGATTCCTATCCTGGTTAGCAAGAAACAAGAACTAGCCAAAAAGGATTGTCCTCCCCCTAAAATACCAGCAGATTCAGAATGGCGGCGAGCACCATTCTTTGGGAAAATGGACCTGTTTTGGCATCAGGCTAACAAGGCTGTGGTTGTTGGCGAACCACTAGAGGTGGTGGAGTTGATGGAAGAGGAGGTTGAGATTAGCCTAGCTCCTCGCATCCCTGCTAATACCATTTTGAGATTTGGTGTCGAGTAAGGACAATATCCATGGTCCTATGTGAATTTCAGCAGTCACATTAGCCCTGGCCATAGTTGGTAATCGTGGACTGATGCGATTCTTGCTAACCCCGTGTATAAGGCGATTCTTGAAGTGACAAGCTTATTGCCTTGCATTAAGTTGTTTCGCCAAATACACATTCCTCGCGACATTGTAGGTTTATGGGAGTTGACCTCGTGATAGAGCTCGAGCTCGCACACCTTTATCATAGCATGGGGGAATTTACGCCTAGTATCGAGGATGTAGGCCAACTATTGGGTTTACCCTTTCAGGGTGTAGAAAATCCTGGCTCTTGGGGATTCTCACCCACTAAAGAGGCTTTGGCTCAGGACCTCGAGACAGCTCTGGATAAGACCAAAGACTTTAAGACATTATGGGGTGCACTGGGTGTCCGCCATGCTGATCGAGGCAAGGGTACACGCAAAGCCACTCTCGGCGCTTTGGTGCACTACTACTTTAGAGATTTCCAATGTCAAAGAAAAATCTCTCGGAGGAGGGGCGAAAAGGGATTTCAGGTCCCTGGATTGATCACTCTTCTAGTCTCGCTGCTTACTTGTTATGTTGGCTATCGAGATACATGTTGGAGGGTACCCCGAAGGATGCTCCCCTGCCGCGGCTCCTAGAACTCGCAGTGAAGTTAGCAAGTGGTGTGAAAGTGGCCCTCATTCCTCTATTTTTGGGTACATTATATCATCGCCTGGATATGATAGGAGAGGATATGGTGCACTTTAGGGTCGCTATGTTTATGGCTCATATGCCTCTAACCTCTTCTTACAGATGTTTCTGTATGAGAGGTTCCAGTCTTACTCCTACATCCCTGCAGACTTGGCTATGGATGAAGAGGTGGTGCGAGGGATGAGATGACATGGGTGCTCTCCGCGAGGAAGGCTAGGATATGCATTAGACCAAAGCTTCCAATTTGTTAGTTACCCTTATACTGCGATCCTACTTGGGGCATTGACCCTGCCCATGTATTTTGACAACGATGAGCATATTCCAGCAGATGCTCATCGATTAAACGCGAGCGAGGTGCTGGTGTTTCTGCTAATGACTATCCCTGGTTATTTGCCCGCCATTTGGGAGGGTGGCCAAATATCAAAGACATACAATCCTCATAGAGTG